CATATGAAATGCATAAATCTTATGATCTAGTATGTTATCATATTAAAAAATAAACATTTCCTATTTCATTGAATATTTCATGAAGTTTAATATTTTAGAATTTTTTTGAAAATTTTTCCTAAGTTTTATAGTTGATAATTCTTCATTATCATGAGTTAATAATTAGTAAATAATATATTGTTAGTCTTAAATCATGATAAATAGACTTATATTTATGTTAAAGTATGGAAAGTAGTTTTTAGTTGATTAATGTGATTTTTTGGCTAATTATGTGATTTTCTACAAATTTATATGATTTTTATAGTCTAAATTTTTAGATAAATGAAGAAAAAGAAAATAAAATAAAAATATAATAAAATATAATAAAATGGTGAGACCTGTCAGCCAGCTTGGCCTACAAGCGAGTTGGAAGTGTAGTCAAAGAAGAGCTACGAGCAAGGGCTCAAGCAACTAAGACCAATGAGGGCACATATATGTCACTCTCCTTCCACGTCATCAATAGCCAGCTAATTGTGAAGCAAGAAGTGGTTGTACATGCAGGAGAAAAGAACTTACTTGCAAATGTAATATTACTATATATTTGTCTGAAACTTCAGTGCACAAGTGATGTGGAACTAAACTCACATCACACCTTCTCTAAAAAGGCTTTAATAATTTTAATACATATAATACCCCTTGTTCATAATAGAGATATACCATGATGACATCATTTGATAAGGGCATTAGAGTATTTATTTCAATCTCTCTCATGTAAGGGGACAACTAGCGTGAGTTCAAATCCTTCTAGAGCTAAAACTCATATTTTTTATCTGATTATTATGACTTTCTTGTAGATCACTGATGAAAGATTAAGTCACAAGAATCGCTAGATCATTAGCAAAATCTCATCCACATGATTCCCGGAGCATTGTTACTAAAATTGTTGAACAATTCATGATAAAAGGATTGCGAATCTATTGAGTAAATCATCTCTAATTGATCGATGAACAAGCTGTTGTCAGAAAGAAGATGATCTGCTGGGAGACGAGTCGCCACCTCCTGCGAGTGTATCGGATGCGATGAAGAGCCTCTTCTTGTTGCGTGGATCAGAGAATGAAGCTCCCTGACACACATTTCACCTCCATCCAACTCCTTTCCGTTAGCTGACAGCCACCAAAGAACTGCAAAGTTGCCGTTTTTCCACTCCGTCGAGTGACAGTTGCTAGAGATGATTTGATGACCTATTTCATTAGACTTTGTAAAGAATTGTAAAGATTGCCCATATTGTCCTTATATAAGGAGAGTCTTAAAAGTGGACACTATACAACGATCTTCTCAAAGGCTCAGGATTCCAATGTATCACTGACACATCGCCGATGCATTGCTACTGCGACGTCAAAACTCTGTTTTTTTATTTTCAACTTAATTTCTACTTCATTTAGTGATAATTTACATGATTTAAATTTACCAAGCTATACTTCATTCAATTATGATTCTTTCAATTTTTATAGATCTTAATTTGATCAATTAAATCATTTGTAATCACTTATGTAAGAATCATTGGGTGGAACTCTATTTCCATCTAATTTGCATTCATCGGGTGCTAATGTCATCTTGACATCTACACCCTTATTTTCCTTTTTTGTGAATTTTAAATATATTTTATTTTTATTTTCTAGTATAAATTTTATAAAAAATAGTATTCTTTGATAAAAATTCTGAATAATTACCTAATATTATATTACATCCTTGATTGACCTGAAAAATTAATGCTATTTTTGGAAGTTTTATTGAATTATAATTAATATATTCTTTTAGAAATAATTATAAATATCCAAAAAATTGTATTTTCTAGTTTTATAAATTTTAAATTTAAGTGATTTACTATACAACGACTAAGTCACGTCAATAGTCATAATTGATTCCTTTTTACTAATATGAGAGAATTTCAAGAGTTTTTGATATCTTTTTATGATTTTTAAGAAGGATATATACTTCTATGGATGAGATTTGATCTAGAGATGATGTGATGGAATCAATGGTGAAGGTACTGACACATAGCATCACCAAATGAGGAGATCAAAAGCTGCCAAGAGTGTGTCTATGGTAGATGAAGGATAATTATTGAAGGTGCAACAGATCTCAACATTATGAAAGATCTTATAGTTATGACAAGATCTCCAAATTTAACGCTTCAAATCATTCACAGTTGTAGATCAAATGATCTCAAATAAATCACCTCATGTGAAGGTAGATATCATCCCTACACATGTAATCTCATACTCTCGTGTAAACCCTTACACATTTAAGCTGCCACTTAGAGGTAAACAATCTTACTTTGAATGCCTTGACATTTAGTTAGCTTGAATGAAACAACATTGAGGTTTTGCATCGATTTGGATGTGTTTTAGGTTGATTTAAGCATTGATTCATAGCTAAAATCATAAGAAGAAGCATACTCAAAGAGGAAACTACCTAGTCTTTACGAAATATAAAGGTCCGTGGTAAGTTTTTTCAAGTATGATACATTCCACGTGTGAACAACCATCTAAGTCTTCATAGTCTAGAAATAGATATAGATGCATTTTCAATCTCGTATTATGATTTTTTTGTGAGTGTTTGCCCTCCTAATCATCTCCTGCATCATCATATTTCTATTTTTCCTTATTTTGATTATATATATCTTTCTTATTTACCATTGCCCCTTCTTCTTCGTGTTCATATCATCTCAATATATCAATTAAATAGAATAGTAGCTACTTCTTGCCTAATTCTCATTCCTTATGGATCGACCTTGAACTTACCATAATACTTACTTATTTTAGTATTTTAATTAGGTGAAATTATAATTCTAAATATTTTTAGTTAATTGATTTCAAGGCATTTAAATGACCCTCGATTTAGTTTTATCAATTATATCAAAAGTTTTTTCTATATCTAGTTTGATGATGACATTAGAACCATAGTTGTCTTAGCCAAAAGACTGTGCTAGTTTGTGAATGTGTCATCCCTAGATAAATTTACACTACTTCAGAGATATGAGCTTATTAAGGACAATACTTAGTTTGATCTTCAATACAACCTTGTAGTACACATTATAGAAACTAATGGGCCAAAAGTCTCTAAAAGAAGTTAAGTTGTCCACTTTTTGTATGAGTGTAATAAATGTGGCTTTTCGACTTGTGGGAAGACTTTGTAGTGAAAGAATTTCTTAATGACATAGACTAAATCTATTCTAATGATATCCCAACATGTTATATAGAAATCAGCTGAGAAATTATCAAGTCTAAGTGTTTGGTTCTTACTCATCAAGAAGACCATATCTCGGATCTCCTCCCTATTAGGTATGGTCATAAGGGTTGAGATCTCTTGGTAGGTGACTAAGGATAGAATCGATGAGAATATATCTTGTAAGATTTCAATTGGCTAGGAGGCAAGAATGGTACAAAATTATAAAATTCTTGTCTCTTACATATGGGATGTGTTCTAGTTGTACACCTTTAGAAGAGATGTATAATCAAATTGAGATCGATATGTGATAAGGCATGGAAAAAACATGTGTTCTTATCAACCTCACACAACCACTAAATACATGATTTTTAGAGATAATATATTATGTCATTGTGATGTCTCCTCTAGCTACTTGCTTACTCGAACTTGTCTCTCTCAAGTGATGTTAATCTATTGATCTTGCAGTCGTCTCTCGACCTTCACTAGCTCCTTCAACTCTTCCACCTCAGTGTGGATAATTCTATATATAAACTAGTTCCATTATTTAGGGTGGGGTTTGAGACTCTTTAATTTGTAACTAAGGTTCTCCATAGGAGAGTTAGAGATTCTTATGCCAATGGTTCTATACGAAGCTCTAGAAAACTTCATGTTGAGTTCACATTTTCTAAAAGTTGTCATCTTTAATCACAAAGAACTTCAAAATAATATTTTTTATGAAGTCTCCAAAAGTGAGTTTTATTATTATTATTTAATAATAATTTAGATTTATTATTTGGGTCCCAATATCTCATAAAATCCTACTAATTATAATATTAACATTTTCTAGATTTGAAGATGTGAAATTTCTAAAATGAAAATCATTTTTTTCTTTATATATTTTATGCCCCCACTAAAATATTTTCAAGTTTTCTTCCATCGAGCTTTTTCTCTTGTGTTTTTTTTTCTTCCTTGAAGTAATTAGCTTTCAAAATAAACCATATAATTAATATTAATCATAAAATTGAAATATAAAGTTAATTTATAGGTATATCATCCTAAAATTAATACAAGTTTTCTGTGGTAAATTACATGGGCTCTATTAAATATACAAATGAATATTCTAGATTACGATTTAAGCTAATTTAATATTATGTTAAATTGCCGAAAGGAGATACCTTCTTAGAGAGATACTCCATGTTGCACGGTCAGCAAAAGTATAACAAGCACAAAAAACCTGTAAAAATAAAAAATATATATATTACTTATATTAATGTAACACGAAGCACCATGCATAGTGTGCTCATGTTAATTAGTCAATGATAGGATTAAGTAATAATTAATCATCAAACCGTGTATTAGTTTTGGACAAAATTTAAAAGTAATATCCAATAATATATTTTTAGGATTCAGAAAAATTCAAACTACAATACATCCATCTATGGTTTTACAAGGACGATTCGTCCATCTAGCGCCATGGGCGAGACCCCATCCTCTATCACCCACTTGACAATCTGTCTCTCTCTCTCTCGCTCTCACACACTCACTCACTCACACACACAGGGTACCGGCCCCTTTCACTCGGCGAAGTTCGGCCCCACCCCACTGACACCCTTCAACGCAACCACTTTCTAACCGTTCGTTATATCAGAAGACAGCGAATTCACACCTGACAACATTAAAAAGCTAACGTATCAGTACAAGCGCGTGCATGCTCGCCTCTACGGGGCATTTTATTTAAGAGGGGCCCTTCGCCGCGTCGAGCGCGAAGGCCACCTCCCAGCTTCGGCGGCCGCAGGCCGGAGGCCGTCTTCTCAGTTGTGCTTCTCCGCAGCAGCCATGTACTCCTTCCGGCTGCAACACCAACAGTTGTAGCGGAACCTATTGCAGCAACGGTAGCGGCAGCGCCACCAGGGCGGGTAGCCACCGCCGCCGCCGCCGCCCCCCGGGTACGGGTAGCCGCCGCCGCCCCCCGGGTACGGGTATCCGCCGCCGCCGCCCCCTGGGTATGGGTAGCCGCCGCCGCCTCCCGGGTACGGGTAGCCGCCACCGCCGCCTCCCCCGCCGGGATACGGAAAGCCGCCACCCTGGTCGACGGAGATCTCTGCATGGGATCGAAAAAGCTCCTGCGTTAGCCTGACAAACTCTGGGAGCTCCTAAAACGTGGAGTCTCAGCATCATGGCAATGAAAAAGCTTCTGTGTTAGCCTGAGAAACTCTAGGAGCTCCTGAAACGTGGAGTCTCAGCAGCATGGACGCAACAGCGAGGACAATATGTGAGGGGGAGGGGGAAAGGGGAGGGGGAAAGGGGAGGGTATAAGAACGAACTTGTTTCCTTATCCTTGCTGTCTTTTGCGTCGACAGCCGCGGAGACGAGGAGCATGGCGATCAGGAGGAAGCCCAGCAGGGGCAAAGCCTTGGAAGCCATCTCGCCGGAGAAGAGGAGAAAGACGAGGATGAGGTGCCGAGAAGACGCTGATGCGCTGGTCTATTTATAAGTAACCAGGCACTGTGGAGGGCAAAGCTCCGAACGCTCTGAGGATCAGGCATAGTTGTTAGGAAGGGCCCTTCTCATTAACGCAGAGAGAGAGAGAGAGAGAGAGTAGAGCAGAAGACTAATAGCCTTAAGACGTGAACAGACTTGGCCGACGGTGGCCTCCGCGTGGAGCTCCGCCAATGGCACCATGTGATCCATCGCTGGGCAGTCCCCCATTCTCTGATGAATACCTTGTTTTCATCCGAACCTCACCCGAAGTCAGTCACTGGCCTGCCGATTATCCATCACTTACTTGTTTTCATCTCTCTCTCTCTCTCTTTCTTAATGGGTGAGGGACCATAAGGTGGCGACCGGGGATCTCAGATCCAGGCTTTGAAGAGGTCCAGGGGCAGTCAATCGGCGCCCATAACAAGGTAAGCCACTGTAGTCACTGGCCTGGTGTTTCTACGGAACCTTCCAGAGTAATCTGATTTGGACCGGTGGGCCTGTAAGTATAAAACTGCCATTCACGCCCATCGCCCTCACACGAAGAGTCCGCTTATCCTTCAATATTATCGGTCCCTCCCTTGTTTGGTCATTCAATTAGGTCTTCGTCAACGGGGAGACAAGGAGATGGTTGGACAGTCAACCCAGCCAGCGAGGTCGAGAGAGAGAGAGAGAGCGGGGGGTTGGGTAGTCAACCCAGCCGGTGAGATAGATAGAGAGAGAGAGAGAGAGAGGGGTGGGGGGACAGGGGACAGGGAGATGGTTGGGGAGATGGGTGAGTTTGTCAACGCAATTAATGCAGAATGCCGTGAAGCGCTTTCCCATCCAACGCTGACGGGCCCCCTCAAGAGGTGGGGGGCCATTCGGGTACGCACATGCAGGTCAACGGTGTAACGTTGACGGGCCATTCGGGTACACAGTGTGAAACGTTGACGATCTCTGTGGGTTGCCACGCGGGCACAGATAAACAAGGATTCGGTCCAGAAAAGGACCTAGACGGGCCCCGCAGCTATCTCTGCCTCAGCTTCCTACGATGTCTCTGCCTCGCTCTAGCTATTTATCTCCTTGCTCCAGCAGCCTTTGTCCTCGCCACCCAACTGACTTCATTCCCGTTTTTGCCAGCATGACAGAAAATACAGACTGGCAGCAAGGAGTCAACTGAATGACCAAAGCATCGGTTGCTTCCACTTGTGGCCTTCTCCGGGCGTAGTCATTTCTTGGACCTAGTTTCTGACGCCCAAGCCCAGAAAACGGAACCAATCAGGGCTTCTGTACACATTTGTTGTCTATCATCTTGATGTTTCATAGACATTTGGATTGCCCACCTAAAATCTGCTCTACATAGCACCTCAATGGCTTTGTATGCGTTTACTTACCGTGCACTAGGCATCCATTTCAGCCTACTCCATTACTCTCGATTTACATGTCATCTACCATGCTACGGGCTATGGATCCATCCTAGCTTTTGAAGCTGGTCTGCCCATTGAGTATTGCTGCTCCTCCTAAATGATGAACAATAGATGATGTACAAGGGGCATTCATTTGAACTACTCCATATCCTCATTGTGTGTTGGTCGAGAATTTCCCAAATAAATCTTCAAACTGAATCAGCTGCCAGCTCCATATAGCATTGTGTCTTGTTAAACCCAATAACTTGACTTAAATGTCTTGTCAATCTATAGTCCCCTAAAGCTCTTGAGTACACATGCAGAGGATAAGGTATTTTGTTAACAAAATTTGACATATTGTTATGAGCTAAAAGTGTTGATCTCTACACTAGGTGCTGGCTCTTGAGGCGTAAGTGTTGGCACTTGAGAGTGGAGGCTAAGAAGCACAAGTTGATCACTAGAATTGTCTATTAGGAATGGAGAATGATCTTCTCTATTAGGGGAATAATAGCTGATGCCCCTAATAGATTGTTGGTTCCTACTTCCACTTACATGGTCTATACTTCTAGATCTTCGTAGGTCTTTGATTGTCTCTCTATCCTCCACATCTTCCATTGGATGACATCTTCTACTGTCTGATATTTGACTTTTCTATACATGGTTCACTCATCCTTCTATCATGAATGAGAGAGTGTTGAAAGCACCTAACGTGACTTAGTTGTTGTATAGTAAATTATGTAAATTTAAAATTTATAAAACTAGAAAATACTAATTTTTAGATATTTAAAAGTAATTTTGAAAAAATATATTAATTATAGTTTAATAAAACTTCTAAAAATAATAATAATTTTTCAAATCCATCACAAAAATGTAATATAATATCAAGTAATTATTCAGAATTTTCTTCAAAGAATATTATTTTTTATGAATTTTATATTAGGAAATGAAAATAAAATATATTTAAAATTCTCAAAAAAGGAAAATAAGGGTGTGTGGACATCAAGATGACGTTAGTGCCCAACGAATACAAATCAGATGGAAATAGAGTTATGTCTGATGATTCTTACGTAAGTGATTACAAATGATTTAATTGATCAAATTAAGATCTATAAAAACTGAAAGAATCATAATTGAATGAAGTATAGCTTAGTAAATTTAAATCACACAAATTATCACTAAATGAAGTGAAAATTAAGTAGAAAGTAAGAAAATAGAGTTATAGAATTGCGGCGACGATACATCGACAATGCACTGGAATCCTAAGCATTCAAGAGGATCGTCGTATAGTGTCCACAGCTTTGAAGGCTCTCCTTAGATAAAGACGATATGGGCAATCTTTAGATCTCCTTGCTAAGTCTAGAGATCAATAAATGGGTCGTAGAATCATCTCTAGTGGCTGTCACTAAATAAAATTGAAAAAAAATAACTATGTCGCTCTCTAGCGACTGTCACCCGACGAAGAGGAGTTGAATAGAGATGGAGCACATGTTAGGGAGCTTCATCCTCAAGTCCACACAATAAGAAAAGGCTTTTCATCACATCTAGTACGCTCTCAGGAAGTGATTGCTCATCTCTTAACAGATCGTCTTCTTCCCGATGATGGCTTATTCATCAATCAATCAGAGATGATTTACTCAATAGATTCACGATCTTTTTATCACAAATCGTTCAGTAATTTTACTAATAATACTTCATGAATCATGTTAACGAGATTTTCATTGATAATCTAGCAATTTTGACGACTTAATCTTTCATCGACGATCAAGAACATTGTGATAATTAGATAAAAATATAAGTTTTAACTCTATGAGGATTTGAACTTAGTGCTAGTTGCTCGCTTGCATAAGAGAGATTGAAATAAGTACTCTAATGCCTTTATCAAGTGACGTCATCATGATATATCTTTGTTATAAATAAGAAATATTTTAAATATTAAAATCATCGAAGCCTTTTAAGGAAAGATGTGACGGGGGTTTAGTCCTACATCACTTGTGTGCCAAAATTTTGAAAGAATATATAATAATATTATATTTGCAAGCAATGAGTCCCTTTCTCCCACTTGTACGATGACTCTTTGCCTCACAACCGGCTGGCCACCATTGACGTGGAAGGAGAGTGGTGCACACGTGCCCTCATTGGTCCTAGTCGCACGAGCCTCTACTCATGGCTCCTCCTTGATGTGCTTCTGACTCGCTTGTGGGCCTGACTGACTAGTGGGTCCCCCCATTTTGCTATATTTTTATTTTTATTTATTTTTCTTCATTTATCTTAAAAATAAGACTATAAAAATCATATAAATTTATAAAAAATCACATAATTAGCCAAAAATTCATGTTAATCAATTGAAAATCACTTTTCACACTTCAACATAAATATAAGTCTATCTATCATGAGTTAAGGCTAAAACTATATTATTTACTAACTATTAACTCATGATAATAAAGACTTATCAGTACCCCATCCAAATTCTAGTAGAGGAAGATATCATTTTTGACTCTATCATTGTCCTCATATTTTTGTCTGCTAGTATGGTCAACACCTTGGTGACAGCATTGTCAACTCACATAAGGGTTGTGCACATCAACGACTTAAAGAGAAAGTTTGAGCTTTGCTACCAAATCAGATCCTTGTTAGCAGCAATGGTAGTGTCTCTAGAAGTTGCCTTTGGGTTTGGCAAAAAAAAGGTGGCATTGAAGCCAAAAATTGTTTTCGTGCTATCAGAAGATGGTTTGGTGTGCCCCTCCATCCTAGCAATGCCCAGGCCGGCCTTTGCCATCTTCAAGTTCCTCACCTAGTTGAATTTCCATGCAGAATATGACCTCATGAAGAAGATAGTCTCGCGCCAACAGATTGCGCCCCCTTTCGATAGAGGAGGGCATCCCAGGTGGCACATTGACTCTCACATGTTGATTTTGGGCAATTATCTCCAATGCTGCATCATGCTTGATTCAATTCCAATCTCACGACTTTGAGGATGTTAGAGAAAAGGTTCATTGTATCAGTTGGTTAGGTATTAATTATATCATCACAAACATATTTCAAAAATAAGCAACATGTGACTCTCCAATGTTGCCATATTTAAGGAAAAAAATTGAAATAATCTTTGTCATCTAGGCCACCAAAAGTTGTTTTTTATTGCAATCTGATGGTAATTATGATTTATTAGTTGGGTCTCCAAATATGACATAAAAGCCTACTAATAAAAATATTCATATTTTCTAAATTTGAAGTTGTGGAATTTCTCAAATGAAAGTTTTTGTTTTTTCTGCTTGAAGTAATTAGCCTTCAAAATAAACCATCTAGTTAATACATTTCCAAATTTCTTAATAAGAAATATTTTTAATCATAAAATTGAAAATAGTTTTTGTTCTTCTATAAAGTTAATTTATAGGTATATCATCCTAAAATTAATACAAGTTTTCTGTGGTAAATTACATGGGCTCTATTAAATATACAAATGAATATTCTAGATTACGATTTAAGCTAATTTAATATTATGTTAAATTGCCGAAAGGAGATACCTTCTTAGAGAGACACTCCATGTTGCACGGTCAGCAA